CACATGAGAACCATCCCACATGGGTAGTGGTCCAAGGGTTCAGGAAGCCTTCACAAGGCAAGCACCCCAGATATCTGTTCTAGGAAGACAAAGCACCTCCTGGTTGACCAGGCCAGGCCAATTATAGTCAGCTAATAAGCATGCATGTAATAAGCCAGGCACCTTACTAAGTGCCTAGGCTACAAAGAAAGGCAAAAGTAATCACTGCCCTCGGAGAGCTCCCATTCTCACGGAGGAAATAACGCACACAAGATCCATACTATATAAATGGAAGGCAAGCTCAGAAGGACCGTACTAGTAGGGGAGCTAGAAAGACTGTCTGCAGAAGGTGAGATTTGAGTTGAGTCTTAAAGGAAGTCAGGGAAAGAGGTAGGCATGGGGGACAGCCAGTGCAAAGGCATGGGGTGGGCAGATGAAGGTGTCCAATGAGGGGAACAACAAGGAGATAAGGGTTTAAGAATCGTATGGTAAGTGGAGGGGGATAAAGCATAAGAAGACCAGGAAAGATAGGAAGGGGCCAGGTTGTGAAGGACTTTAAAAAGCAGAGCATTTTGTATCTGACCCTGGAAGGAATAGGAAGCTACTGTAGTTTTTGAGTAGGGTGTGACATGGTCGTGTCTACACTTTAGGAAAATCGTTTTGGCAGGGAAGGGAAGATGGACTGGAGTGGGCAGTTGAGATGAGGAGAGCTAGCAGAAGACAGTTCAGGATCTGCACTAAGGTGGCCACAATAGTTCTGTGGAGAGAAAGGTAGAAATGACAGTACTTGACAACCGATTGGATTTGTGGGAGTGAGCATGAAATCTGACACTGAGGATATGAGCCTGGGGACTCAGAGGATGGTGGTGCCTTTGACAGTAATAGGGAAATTGGGAAGAAGGGAGGGTTTAGGGACAAGATAATGAGTTCTATTTTGGACACGCTGAGTTTGAAATGTCTTGGGGACCTGAGATGGCCGACAGGCAGTCGATGGTGTGGGACTGGAGCTCAGGAGAGAGTCTAGGTCTGGCTGTATAGATCTGGGAATTGGCTGCATAGAGATGGTAATTGAGCCCATGCGAGTGGAGGAGATTGCCAAGCAAGACAGTAGAGAAGGGAAATTTAATGTGTGCAAACAAAATTCTCTGGTGATCAGCAGTATGCAGATGTACACTGATTATTCAAATATCATTGCAATGCCAAATATCAAAGTGGCAGAGTACAAAAAACACCCTGAACCAAAAGAGTTCAGAAAGGGACACAGAAATCAAAAAGATGCTGGTGTTCCTACCTTGTTCAAATGAATAAGTCCATTAACAACAACAGCAAAAAAACCCCAAACCTGTACATAATAGGTGTCATGGAAAATGTTTCTGAGGGCGGCCAGGTGGCTCAGTGGATAGAGGGCTGGGCCTAGAGTTAGGAATACTGGAGTTCCAATCCAGCTTCAGACACTTCCTAGCTGTGTGACCCTGGGCAAGTCACTTAACCTCTGTTTTTCTCAGTTTCCTCATCTATAAAATGAGCTGGAGAAGGAAATGGCAAACCTCTCTAGTATCTCTGCCAAGGGATTATGAAGAGTCATACTGAACAGCAACAAAAAAAGTTTGGTTTTTTTTAATTCTCATGTATTTGTTTTTTAAATTTTAATTTTATTACTTTTTATTTGTGTATGTGTGTTTGAAAAAATATCTTATTATTCTCAGTTTGACATCACCTTCATCCCTGCATGTGAAAGGCAGTATAGTAGAGTGAATAGAGCTGGCCTAGGAGCCAGGAAGACCTGGGTTCAAATCCTGACTCTGACCCATCCTGGCTGCGTGACTCTGGTTAAGTCACCTAACCTCTCAATATTCTAGGTAGCTAAAAGGTACCTACCTGCATTGATAGAAAGAGTTTCCTCACCTGGAAGTTCTCTATATTAATGAAATCTCAGTCCCTATCCTTATCATTCTTGAATGTGTCCCTTTCTCTGTCCTTCCCCTAGAGAGCATCCCTGTGACAAAGAATGAAAAAAGAAAGAGGAAAATAAAACTGTTCTGCAAAATTCACTAGCTAAGTGTGATGGTGTATGCAGTATTCCCCATCAGTAGACCCCACCCCCACACGTGAGATACCTCTACAAAGAAGGCAGGGAGGCAGATTTTCTTATCCCTTCTTCAGAGCCGAGCTTGGGCATCATATGACTGATTTTTTGTTGATGGTTACTGTTGATGGTTAAAAATCGCCAGTGGTTGTAAGATCAGGGATTGCCTCTCATCTTCTCTTCAGGCTCCAGGGAGAGGACCTCAAGGCTCCAAAGTGAAAGGTTAATGTGGGTGAAAGATGAGCTAGCTGTCAATGAGCTGAAGTCAGTTTTGAAGGGACTGAAAGATGCTCTTGGCCCATCACTCTCTACTACAGTCAGAGAAGTCTTGGACTTGATTGTAAGTTTTTCTAAAGTCTCCCTCCTGGATTCCCTCCAATCTGGCCAGAGCAGGCCCAAGCATAGGAAAGAGCTCAGAGTATACTTGGCACTTGGGTCCATCCGCACTCTGCAGACAAGTGGGCACTTTGCCTTTGATTACCTCTGAGCCCTGGTAGCTTGAGTCCGCAAATATCAATCTAATTGGTTTGCTTTGTTCTATGTATTTTATTTTATGTACTTAAAAACATAGTTCTGAGAAGGGGTCTAGGACACAAAAAAGGTTAAGAACCCCTGCTCCTGTCTAATCCCCTTATTTTACAGAGGAGGAAACTGAGGTAAGTAAACTGGGTCACAGAGAGCCAATGGGACTTGCCTGAGGTCATATAGGGAGGGGTAGATCTGAGATCTCTCAACCCCAAATACCAAGCTCTTTTCATGACATCCCATGCTTTCTCCTGCAAATTTCCCTGTCTCGCAAAATAAGAAGTTGATAAAGACAACATGACATCCCTACAACATGGTTTCTGGGCTTTCTGTAGGATTTGCTATTTAATAGAGTTACTCAATATGCCTGATGGGTAGGGGGACTCATTGTTATCCCCATTCAACATATGGAGAAAGTGAGGCATGGAAAGGGGTGAGGGTTTCAGAACGATCCAATTGCAGACCCCAATTTGGAACCTGAGATTCCTGAATTCCAGTACTGTGCTTTTACCATTAGACCAAGCTATTTCTAGCCATGATGGGAGAAACGGGTGTTTTGAAACCAGATGGAAAATTAAGGGAGTTTTACTGTCCCCCACCCTTCCTGTCTCCAATTTCTGTTACCAGCAAAACCTGCTGACATTTGCTTTTGCTCATGCTTACCAAGCAAAGTAAAGGATGCCCCATGTGCATCGCAGGTCAAGGCCCATAATGTCTTCCTCTGACCAAGACAAGAGGCAGTCTGGTGTAGTGGGTAGAGCCTGCCATGCAACCAGGGAGATCAGATTCATAGCTGGCCTCAGATGCTTGTCGGCTGTGTGACAGTAGGCAAGTCAACTAACCACCCTGTGCCTGGGGTAGTTTTTAGTACCATCTCTTACAGAAGAGCTGCCTAACAGCATTTGTGGAGGGAATTTCCACACTGGAAATTGTTCCCTACATCAGTGAAATCTCAGATCTGGTTCCTCCTCCAGTCCAAAAAAATGACATAAGTCATCTCTGTGAAACTGAAAGACATTGGTGGCCCACTGCTTTTCAAGTATCATTTGAGCTAAGCAGGGCACAATATACACTTCTAGTTTCAGCAGATTGAAATCAATTTGGAATTTGATTTAAATCCAGTCTGAACTCTTCCATCTCTAGTCTGAGGCATGCTGCTACATAATTCTCTAGGGACACTAGAGAGGGTGCTGTGTGCCCACCATCTCATCTCCCCCTGCCTTCGTTACCCCTGTTGTAGTCAGAACAAGGTAAGCTAAGGCACAAAGTCCTGAGCGTGATCAATTTATTAGTAAAGCATTGATTTGCCAATACATTGGATCTCAGCTTCCTCAGCAAAGCTAAGACCCCTAAATGAGGGGGACAGCTCTCTTTTATAATTTTAGGGGAGTACAGAACAAAGAACAGGACTTTGTAGGTGGGGAACAAGTTATAATTAGTTACAAAAGCTAGACATCGTGAATGGTGAAATCAAAATGACTGGTTCCAGAGCTGAGGCATGGGAGATGATATGATTGGTTGGAAATTGGGAATGAGGGGCTAGCAACACCCCTCTCCTTCCCTCCTGTGACTAGGAAATGTTTATTGTTTGAGTCCACCTGCAAGGTCAGAGATAGTGGGCCAGACTTTGGATAACAAACCAGACATCCTTGGAGGTTAGCTTGGTGGTGTATCAGACTCCCTGGTGTCCACCCACATCCCTCAAGGACACCAGATTTCCTTGAGGTGAGAATAGAACACTGATTTTCTTTTTCAATGAATGTAAACAGTTTTATTGAGAAACAGAAAGACCCCTGTTTGCATTATAGAATATAAAACTTGGTTTACATTCCATAAAAAACGAAACACCCAAATCAAGAAGAGAACCACCATCCACAGGACTGATTAGCAGAGCTAGATTTCTAAACTTAATTCATTATAGGCTAGCTGAGTTTTTGCACTAAGTTCAAAGACAAAGCCACGACTTGGGCAGTAGCAGGACAAAATCGATCAATTTTAAAGAGGGTCATTTAAAACAGACACAGGATCAACCTGATCATTTCACCCTTCCTTGATCTAAGGAATGCAATTATACCTTCCACATTGCTGGGGTAGGGAGGCGGGGTGGTTAGGGCCTCCCACAATATGGAAAATCTGCATAAGATTTTTTGGTCCTCCCTTTGTACCAGAGAAGAAGTCTGATTTTTTTTTTCTTTTTCTTTTATGGCGTGTTTACATTACCTTATTGTAAAATTTGGGTTAAGTATTTGGTCATAGGCTCTGTGTCGTCTGCTGGCCTTTGGGTGTTGTCTGTGGCTTTCGCAAAACTCCCCCTAAATTCCCATTTAATTTCTTATGCCGACCCTTGGTATGTGGAAACCGTGATGGGGGTGTGGAAGGGATAACTGTACTTTCTACTTTCCCTCCAAAGGGTAGAGCTCCAGCAGACCACCACTGAGGTACTTGATGTCCTCGACTACTAGACTTTAGCAGCTCTTCACAGGATTCAATGCCAAGGACGTGTTAATAATCACCACAGGTCCCATTTGCCGAAGGACTTTCCTCCCCATCTCCCTTCCCCTCCCCTTCCAGGTAGGTGGTGCTCTGATTATTATTCTCCTTTTAGAGAGAAGGAAACTGAGGTTCAGAGAGCCCACAGTCACTGGCTTGATTTGAATCACATATAGCATTTTCTCCTTTCCACCGATCTCAATGATTTAGCTCCACGCTAAGTGGAGAAAGGGAGAAGAGTACTTGATGTCTTCCTGCCAGTTGGCTTCCCCAGTTGGATGGACGGATGTCCAAAGAGAAGGGAGAAATGGTGTGATCAAATCTACACTCCTTTCCCCACCTTCTTTCAGCCTTTAAATTGTCACCTCTTCGTTAGGGTTCTTCTTTAGAGTTTAGGTTAAATGAATGGACTCAGGGACTCCCCAAAGCATTTGCTAGAGACACCCTTATATTTATATATATGTATATATATAGTATATATATATATATATATATATATGTATATATATGTATATATATGTATATATATATATATATATGATTGGTATATTAATATATATGTATATAATTTATGTGGGTTTAAGAGCATAGGCTCCTAGATTCAGAGCTAGAAAGGACTCTAGAGGCCAGCGAGTTCAGCCCCCTCATTTTACAGAGGGGGAAACTGAGGCCCAGGGAGAGGAAGTGACTTGCTCAAGGTCACACAGAGGATCCTAGAACTAGAAAGGATGTCAGAGAACAGCTAGTCTAACCACTTCATTTGGCAGAGGAGGAAACTGAGGCTCAGCCTGAACTGATTTTGCTCCAGATCAAACAAGCATGTGACTAGGCAGGATTTGAGTCCATGTTCCTCTGACTCCCAATGCAGTCCTCTTTATATTGTGCCATATCTCTTCAATAGCTGGGATACAGTGTGGAAAAGAACCCTGGTTTTGAGAGCTAGGACTTCAATCTGCCCTCCAACTTTACTTAGCTGCGTGACTTCAGGGGAATCACTTACCCTCTCCCAGCCTCAGTTTCCCTCTTTCACACTTCACCTCTTACAGTGCAGTTATGTCATTTGTTCTCAGATGGGCATCAGAGACTCAAAATGAATGGGAAACAAAGTGTTTTGAACAAGTTACCTTGAGAAAGTCACTTCCCCTCTGTTGATTCAACAATAATTTATTAAGTTAGTCAAGAAGCATTAATAAGGTACCTACTATGTGCCAGGGATAGCACTAGGGTTACAAAGAAAGGTAAAAACAATCTCTGCTCTCCAGAAGCTCTTTGTCCATTGTGGGAGATGATGTGAAAATAGCTAGGTAGAGATAAGATACATACGGAGTAGATGTCAGGAAATCTCAGAGGAAAAGTACTAGCCTCTGGGGGACCAGGGAAAGGTCTGAGTCTGGAAGGAAGTCAGGGAAACTAGGAGGAAGAGAGGAGGAGGCAGCATTCCAGGAAGGGGGCCAGACAATGCAAAAGCATAGAGGTGAGAGAGGGAGTGTTCAGCTCCAGAAATTGCCAGTTGGTCGTTGTAGCTAAATTGTAGCGTGCCTGGAGGGGAGTGATATGTCAAAAGACTGGAAAGGTAGGATGGGGCCAAGTTGTGAAGGGTTTAAAATGGTGCTGGCCATTTGATCCTGGAGGTGATAGGGAACCACTAAAGTTTATTGAGTACAAGGGTAACATGGTCAGACCTACACTTTAGGAAAATCACTGTGGCAGCTGAATGGAAATTGGATCTATGTCAGGCAAGACTTGAGACAGAGACCCTATTACAGATGTCTATTATAGAGGTCCAGTTGACAGGCAATAAGAAAATGAACTAGACTGAAGAGAAGGGTGCCTAAGTGAGAGATGTCGGATAGGCAGAAACAACAGACGATGACAGATTGAATGTATGGCATGAGTGTGAAAAAGGAGCCAAGGATGATAAGGTTGAGAAACTTGGAGACTGGGCAGAAGGTGATACCCTTGACAGTAAGAGGAAACTTGGGAGGAGGGAGGAGTTTGACACCCATTAAGATAAGGAATTCTGTTCTGAGATGATGTTGAGATGAGATGTTGAGCTTGAGATGCCCAAGGGACATCCACTTTAAGACATCCAAAAGGCATCAGATGATATGGCACTGTAACTGCAGAGAGAGGCCAGTGCTTGCTGGACAGCTCTGTGAATCATCTGAATAGAGACGATGATTAAAGAGAGAAGAGGGTCTAGGACCAAGTTTCGGGGGACTCCCATGGCATAACTCAGAAGATCTTTCAAAGGATACTGTGAGAAGGAGTAGTCAGACAGGTAGGAAGAAAACTAGGAATCAATGAATTTTTTGAAAATTTATTAAGCCCCTACAGTGTGTCAAGCAGGAGAGAACAGTGTCATGAAAACCTAGAAGGAGCCTATCCAGAAGGCGAGGGTGATCCATAATGTCAGAAGCTTCAGAGATGTCAGGAAGAATGAGGATTGAGAAAAGGCCATTCGATTTGTAAATCAAGAGGACACTGATAACTTTGGAGAGGGAAGTTGCTTATGTGTGTCAGGCAATGGGGACAGAAAGAGCAAAAATAATGCAGACTCTCCCATTAATTATCTAAGGAGTTTATGTTTTCAGTTTCGCTGTCTGTGAAATAGGACAATTCCTAGTCTGCTCTGAGTGCTCTGAAGGAATCAGTGAGCTGATGGATGGAAATTATCCTGTATTGAAATATAGATTTCCACCCATGGGTTTCTAATGCCCTCGATGTCACTCTTGGGAGTCTCCAATTATCTCAAGGGGAATTGGAAGATTTTCAACCTCAAATGGATTTGAATTCATGCCATAGGACACTTGGAAGAAGGAGGGAGGTGGTGTGTTGAGAATCATAGGGCATCGAGATGTCCCTAAGTTTTAGATCCACTGCACAGTACAACACTCCTCACTGATGGGAGTCAATATGTCCACAACCATCCTTGGTTCTCTCAGCAAAGGGGAATAACAGGGGAAAGAGGCAAAAGGAAATTTCTGGAATTTCTTTCAGGTTGAAAATAATGGATACAGAAACCTCATCCACAGATGAAGAGGAAAAATCTATCCAGATAAAGCAAGAAGTCATTTTGGCTGCAGTTAGGACATTGGAAGGTGGGCCATGTAATAGACATTTATTGAGTGGGCAAAGCACTGAGGTAGGGACCTCAAGACTTACCACCTTATTTGGCAGCACTGTACTAATGAACTGGCTCATGGCTTGCTTCCAGATTTGGAGAATCCACTCAAAAACATACAATGGACAACATGTAATAACTTTACAGTGGAGCTGGGCCGACAGCAGATTGAAGAATACATCTCAGTAAGTTCTGTCAGGCAGTCAGTCAATTAGCATTTCTTGAGTACTTACTGTGTGCCTGGCACTGTGCTAGGGATAGAAAGAAATGAAAAAACACAGACCCTGCCCTCAAAGAGCTCACAAACTAATAGAGATAACATGCCAATAGCTATGTACATCAAGAGATATCTAGTATAGGGGCAGTTAGGTGGTGTGCTGGATAGAGCTCTGGCCTTGGAGTCAGGAGGACCTGAGTTCAAATGTGGCCTCAGACACTTGACACTTACTAGCTGTGTGACCCTGGGCAAGTCACTTAACCCTGACTGCCTCACCTAAAAGCCAAAAGATAAAAAATAAAATAAAAATAAAAAAGAGATATCTAGTATAAAGGGAAAAGTAATCTCCGAGGGAGGGTGATAGCAGTGCAAGGGTGGGGCAGAAGGAGGAATTAGGAACTGGAAAAAGGCTCTTGGAGAAGGTGAGATCTGAAGGAGACTGGGGAAGAAAGGAGGCAGTCCAGATGTGGGGGGATAGCCATGGCAAAAACATGAAGTTCTGGGGTCCCAGACTTTTAGCTAGTCCTAGGTAGAAGAAGGCTAGGGAAATGATCCTCTTCTAAGAATTAAGAATGGTGACCTCTCAAATGTGACATTGGAAGGTCTATGTCTCAGCTATAAATGGTGTCTCCTCTTGGTGTCTTTATCATAGACCCTAGAGTTTTCAAAATGGAAGGAGCCTTAGAGATTATGTAGTTGAATCTTTCCATAATACAGATGAGAAAACTGAGGCCTGGAGAAAGTCATGCAGCTGGTGAGTGATAGAGCTGAGACTAGAACCGAGGTCTTCTGCTTCTAAATCTCTGCTCATTCCACTAGCTCTCATGCTGGCAACTCAATTGACCAATTGATATATAGACTGTAAAGTGGGGATGAGATTCCCAAGTACTAAATAATGACTTTGTGGCCATAGTCTCTTCCTCTCGAAAAAGAGGGCAAAGAGATGTGGCTGATATGAAGTCATGGATAAAACCTGTCTTTTTCACTTGGTTTGGTTCAAATGGAAGTATTGGGTAGACCTGGGTTTCAAGCTCAGTGGTTCCATCAACTAGCTATGTATTGTTGGACAAGGCTTTTCCTGCTTCTGAACCTGGTTCCTTCGTAAAATTTGGGGGCTGAATGAAATGGCATCTAAATTTCCTTCCTCTCACTCTCAGTCCAGTTTAGTAAACAATTATTAGATGGCTACTATGTGATGGGTCCTGTGCCTGGTCCTAGGGATGCAATGATGAATAACGATTATATTCCTGATTTCAAGGAGATTATAATCTAGTTTCTGATTTCTGAAACTGTAATACAGTGGAAAAAGCATTAGACTTGGAATCAGAAGAGACCTGGATTTATACCCTGGTTCTAAAACTGCCTTTGTAACTTTGGGTGAGTCACTTTACCTCTTGGAGTGTCAGTTTCCTCATTTGTAAAATTCAGATAATGATCCTTGCACAATCTACCTCCTAGTCTGGTTGTGGGGAAATGTGACCTATTGTTATTCCTTCTTCCAGAGTTGCTACCTCTGATAATTGGTAAAGTGGATTAGAATCCACTCTTCCTGTGGTATTTGTTTCTTAGAGGAAATAGAACTGGGGAGGTCTGTTGAAGTTGGGGCAGAGAAAACCCTAGAAGAAGCTGCCATCAGTATGTGTCTTGACTGGTAGAGAGGGCTTTTGGCCTCTGTGCCTATGGTAGTTAAAGGACCCAACCAAAGACTAGATTGATCATGGATAAACTTCTTGAATAGAGGGACCACTGAGCCAAGGCTTCTTTGCCCCTCTTCCCCTTGGGGATATGTTATGGCCTCTATTTGGATCCCCCTTCAGTCAGTGGGCACATCAGAAGATCTTTGGAGAATCCAAGCGCCAAGAGTCTCATTGTCCTCTCAGTGTTAATGGAAGCTCCTGGTATTTGGCCCAGGGCTTAGGCTAGAAACCAAAGCTCTCAAGAGCAGTTGCAAACAGCTCACCTCCTTGGGCTTTCCAGCTTCCAAAGAGCTTCTCTGGGAGGTGGTGAGGGCAAGAATGATTAGCTCCAACTTTTTGGTCGAGGAAAATGGTGCCCAGTGAGGGGCACAGCCTTAATCGAGGTCATCTTCTGCTTGCCAAGGTCTTCTTCAACCTTGTGCCAAGAGGTTCCATCCTCTCCCATCTCCTTTAGGAGCCTGGCCCCTCTTATCATTCTCCCTCTTTGGCTCATCTTCAGTCTCTCCTTAGCTAGTGAGTGACTCCTTGATGTCTAGAAACACATCCACATCTTTCCCATCCTTAAAAACCCTTCACTTAACCCTGCTATGTCCTTAAACTAGCCTCATGTATTTCCCCTCCCTTTCACAGCCAGGAGCCTAAAAAGGATTCCCTTTCCTCCCCTTCCACTCACATCTCAATCCCTTGCGATGTGGTTTCTAACCCCATACTTTGAAACTGCTGCCTTCAAGGTGGCCCACTGTCTCTGAACTACAAACTCCTTTGCCTTTTCTCAGTCTGCATTCTATTTGACCTCCTGGCAGCTTTTGACACTGTTGAACCCTGCTCCCTCCTTCCTTGGCTTCTCTTGACTTGAGACTTTTTTTTTGGTTCTCCTACTTATATGAGCATTCTTTCTCTGAATTCCTGGTCTCTCACCTGTCTACTGAAGATGGGTGGCCCCAAGGCTCTCTCCTCTCCTTCTACTTTCTTCCTCGGTGATCTTATCCACTCTCATGGGTTCGATGATGATTTCTATGCACATGACTCCCAGATCTATATACCCAGACCTAACCTCTCTCCTGACCTCCAGTTCCACACCATCAACTGTCTTTTGGACATCTTGAACTAGATAATCCACAGCATCACAAACTCAACATATACAAAACCAGAATGCACTGTATTTTCTTCTAAATCTATTCTTCTGCCTGACTTCCTTATTTCTTTTTTTCCCTAATAATTTATTTATTTTTAGTTTTCAACATTGACTTCCATAAGATTTTGAGTTTTAAATTTTCACCCCCTCCCACTCCTATCCCCCCAAGATGGTGTGCAATCTGATATAGGCTCTACTTATACATTCATATTAAGCATATTTTCCAATTAGTCATAATATAAAGAGGAATTAGAACTAATGGGAAGAACCAGGAGAATGAAGCAATAAAACAAAACAACAAAAGAAAAGGAGAGCAAATAATATGCTTCGATTTGCATTTAGACTCCATAGTTCTTTCTCTGGCTGTGGATAGCATTTTCCATCATGAGATTTTTGGAGTTGTCTAAGATCCTTGCATTGCTGAGAAGAGCTAAGTCTATCAAAGTCAGTCACTGCACAATGTGGCTGTTACTGTGTATAAGGTTCTCTTGGTTCTGCTCACTTCACTCTGCATCAGTTCATGTAAGTCTTTCCAGGTTTTTTCTGAAGTCTGCCTGCTCATCATTTCTTATAGCACAATAGTATTCCGTTACATTCATATACCACAACTTATTCAGCCATTCCCCAGTTGATAAGCATCCCCTCAATTTCCAATTCTTTGCCACCACAGAAAGAGCTGCTATAAATATTTTTGTACATGTGGGTATTTTTCCCGTTTTTATGATCTCTTTGGGATACAGACCTAGAATTGGTATTGCTGCATCAAAGGGTATGCAGTTTTATAGCCCTTTGGGCATAATTCCAAATTGCTGTCCAGAATGGCTGGATCATTTCACAACTCCACCAACAATGTATTAGTGTTCCAATTTTCCCATATCTTCTCCAACATTTCTCATTTTCCTGTTTGTTAGCCAATCTAATAGATGTGATGTGGTACCTCAGAGCTGTTTTGATTTGCATTTCTCTAATCAATAGTGATTTAGAGCATTTTTTCATATGACTATAGATGGCTTTAATTTCTTTGTCTGAAACTGCCTGTTCATATCCTTTGACCATATATCAAATGGGGAATGACTTGTATTCTTATTAAGTTGACTGTGACTTCCGTATTTCTGTCAACAGTACCACTATCCTTCCCAGCAGTGCAATCTTGGAATCACCCTCAATGCTTTCCTCTCCTTCATGCCTAGAGTTAATCCATTGCCAAATCTTGGTATTTATACTACGGCAATATCTCTCCCATTTTCTCCTCTCACATCTTCTTCCCTGGTCCAGACCCTCAGCAATACTCTCCTTCAACCTATTCAGGTTCCCATGCCAGCCAAGCTCATCTCAAACTCAGCTCAGCTCTTGACTCTCTGGACTCTTTGTTCATTTCTTTCTTTCTTTCTCTTCCTTCCTTCCTTCCTTCCTTCCTTCCTTCCTTCCTTCCTTCCTTTCTTTCTTTCTTTCTTTCTTTCTTTCTTTCTTTCTTTCTTTCTTTCTTTCTTTCTTTCTTTCTTTCTTTCTTTCTTCTTTCTTTCTTTCTTTCTTTCTTTCTTTCCTTCCTTCCTTCCTTCCTTTCTTTCTTCTTCTTCTTCTCTTCTTCTTCTTCTTCTTCTTCTTCTTCTTCTTCTTCTTCTTCTTCCTTCCTTCCTTCCTTCCTTCCTTCCTTCCTTCCTTCTTTCTTTCTTTCTTTCTTCCTTCCTTCCTTCCTTCCTTCCTTCCTTCCTTCCTTCCTTCCTTCCTTCCTTCCTTCCTTCCTTCCTTCCTTCCTTCCTTCCTTCCTTCCTTCCTTCCTTCCTTTCTTTCTTTCTTTTTTCTTTCTTTCTTTCTTTCTTTCTTCCTTCCTTCCTTCCTTCCTTCCTTCCTTCCTTCCTTCCTTCTTTCTTTTCTTCCTCCCTCCCTCCCTCCTTCCTTTCTCCACCTTATCTACTCTCCTTCCTTAATAAATAAAAATAAAATCTTTGTTACAAACATGAATAGTCAGGCAAAACAAATTCCTGCATTCACAATGTCCAAAAAATCTTGTTGCAACATGCACTCTGAGTTCTTCACCTCTCTGTCAGGAAGTGGGTAGTATGTTTCTCCAGGAGTCAGGACTACTTTTCTTTCTATACCCTACCCCTCTTTTTCACTTCTCTTTTGTGTATTGTCTCTCCCCCCCCCCAATTAGAATGTGAGCTCCTTGAAGGCAGGGACTGTCTTTTTGCTTGTATTTATATTTCCAGAACTTGGCACAGTGCCTGGCACACAGTAAGTGATAAATAAATGCTTGATCTTTTTCTTATCAGTCTCCTCCCTCTCCAGTCTATTCTCCATAGAGTTACCAAAATGAACTTTGCCATAAAACACAGATCTGATCACCACCTACCTCCCCTACTTCGAAATCTTCACTGACTCCCTAGGATGACATGCAAAATTTTCTGCATTTAAAAGGGGCATCTAAAGGCATCCATTGGTAGAGGTCCTAATCCTTCACACCACCTTAATAGATTGTCTTTGTACAGACATTCTTCTCTTTTTTTTGGTGAGGCAATTGGGGTTAAGTGACTTGCCCAGAGTCATACAGCTAGTGAGTGTTATGAGTTTGAGGTTGGATTTGAACTCAGGTCGTCCTGACTCCAGGGCCAGTGCTCTATCCACTGTGCTACCTAGCTGCCCCTCTATAGACATTCTTTGACTAATAAATGAGATAAAATAAATGAGGTAAGAGACAATCTCTTCACATAGGTAGGTGGGTGCTTGGACAACAGATACATACTGTCTGGGCAAACTTGTTCTTCCCTTTGAGAATGCAAGGTCACCTTACACTTGGCTGAGGTAGACCATACCCCATGACTTCCCTCGTCTAGGGAATTTGCCTTACCAAAGCCGGTGGGCAATTACTTGACAACTTAATAGTCTTAGAGAGGTGCTCAGTGTGCTGAGGATGAAATGACTTGTCTAGGGTCACAGAGCCAGCATATGTCATAGGTGAGGCTTGAACCGAGTTTCCTGCCTTCAAAGCCTCTATTCATTGTACTAAGCTGCCTCTGATAATTTTAAGTATTATTCCTTAGTAGTGGTTCATATTTCTATGGCATTTTCTTCCCTGATATTACTATCTCCCTTTTGGCAGATAAGGGAACTGAGTCAGAGATGGGGAGTAACCTGCCAAGGCCACATAGCTAAGAAGTAGCAAGGCCAAATCTCACACCTGGTGAATGAAAGATGGCCAATAATCTCCTTGCTGGTATGCTTTGCTTTAAGAAGACTTGGCACAGGAAAGCCCCGACTTAGGAACGCAAAAAAGTAGGGGCAAGCCATCAAAAGAGCCTCTGATTTACAAAAATATTCACCATAGTGACATCTTCAAAGAGTAGGTTCATAGTATCCTCAATCTAGAGTTGGAAGGGACCCCAGAGGCCATCTAGTCCAACCCCCTCGTTTTACAGAGGAGGAAACTAAGGCCCACAGAGGCAAAGGGACTTGTTCAAGATCCTAAGTAGACTCCTAGGTCTACAGCTGGAATGGACCCCAGAGCTCATCTAGTCCAACTCCGTCATTTTACAGAGGAGGAAACTGAGGCTCAGAGAGGGGGACTGATTTGCCCACACAAGATCATAGATCTAGAACTACAAGCTCTACAGGGCAATTAGTCTAACCCCTTCATTTTAAAGAGGGGGAAACTGAGGCCCAGGGAAATGAGGTGATTTGTCTGAGGTCATGGAGGTAGAAAGTGGTAGAGCCAGCATTTGAACTCAGATCCTGGGATTCCAAGTTCAGTACTATAAATTCAGCATTCTTTTCCACTGTACAATGCTTTCTCTCAGAAGTCCCAAGTTCCCTTGTTAAAAGGAAACCAAGATTCAATGGCTATCCATCTTTTCAGGAGCATGGCTCTCAGGCTAAGGGCTGTGCAGGTGCATGGCAATGCTCCGCTCCGGTCAGTGACAGAGCTGCCATCAGTGGATGGCCTTGTTCTCTGCCTCTGCCTCTCTCTCTTTCTGTCTCTGTCTTTTTTCTCTTCTTCTCTCTTTCTTTCTCTTTCTTTTCCCCTCTCCCTTAATTTCTCTTTCTCCCTCTCTCTTTCTCAATCTTTCTCTCTCTCCTGCCTCCCTCTTTCTCTTTCTGTCTCTGTCTTTCTCTCCTTCTCAATCTCTCACTTTCACCCCTCCCCAACTCTCTTTGTCTCTCTGTCTCTGTTTCTCTGTCTCTGTTTCTCTCCCTCTTCCTTCCTTCCTTTCTTTCTTTCTTCCTTTCTCTCTGTCTCTCTGTCTCTCTCTCTGTCTCTCTGTCTCTCTCTCTGTCTCTCTCTGTCTCTCTCTCTCTGTCTCTCTCTGTCTCTCTCTCTGTCTCTGTCTCTGTCTCTCTCTCTCTCTCTCTCTCTCTCTCTCTCTCTCTCTCTCTCCTGCCTGCCTCTTCTCTGTTTCTCTGTCTCTCTGTTTCTGTTTGTCTTTCTCTCTCTTCAATTTCTCTTCCCCCATCTCTGTCTCTGTGTCTCTCTCCCTCCCCTCTCTCTCTCCCCATTTTGTGTTGAGCAGACATGGGAATTTCATGAGAGCTGGTTACACTGGTCTGAGTACTTGGAGAAGGAAGAACTGGAGTTCAGCGTCCGCTACCATTACCGGGTGCGCTGGAGCATCACCACATCCCGCATGCCCCTCCCCCGGGCCACTGCCTGCGTCTTCTTTCTCATCGAGATCTCCAAGGTCAAGCCTAAAGTATGTGCTTTCCCCTTTGGCCATGGGCCCCTTCCTGAACCAGAACTGGGGCAAGTTACCAACCCCACCCCACAATGATATTGCTGTATCCAGGGAAAATCTCAAGATTAGTTATAGTTCAATTTGACTCTAAGGCTCTGTATGACTTCATGGGCCCTGGAATGAGTGATGGGAAAGCTGAGCTGATGCCCCTGCTCAAACACTCACCAGCTGTGTGACCTTGGCAAGTCATTTCCCTGATCTGAGCCTTGATATCCTCTGTTAAATGAGCGGGGTCACACTTGATGGCCTCTAAGGTCCCTTCCAGCGGTAGAGCTAAAATTCTGTGTGTGACCTTGGGCCAGTCCCTTCCTCTCTTTATGCCTCAGTTTGCTCCTTGGTAAAAGGTGGGTGTGGGGGGGTTAACCTTAGTGACCTCCAGGTTTCCTTCTAGCGCTGAATCTATGATCCCATGATCTATACTGCAAGAGCCCAGGAATTAGAAACAGGAGGTATGAGTTAAATTCCCTATTCAGATCCTGACCAGCTTGGGGATTCTGGACAAGTCACCTGACTCCTTGGAGTCTCAGTTTCCTCAGCTCTAAAATGGAGATAATTATATTCACACTAGTTACCTCTCAAGGGGCTCTTGGGAGGAAAGCGCTTTGCAAATCCAAAAGCACTAGAAAGATGGGAACTAGTATGTAAAGAGCTTAGCTTTATATTCTAAAGTCCTATATATAAATATTTAAGTTATATACATACATGCATGCAATATATAAATAATAAATATATATTTGTTGTTCAGTTGTGCCCGACTTTTTGTGACCCCAAATGGGGTCTTCTTGGCAAGGATAGTAGAGTGGCTTGCCATTTGCTTCTCTAGTGGATTAAGGCAAACAGAGATTAAGTGAGTTGCCCAGGATCACACAGCTAGTAATTGTCGGAGGCTAGATTTAAACTCAGGTCTTTCCTGACTCCAGGCCCAGGGCTCTATTCACTAAGTCATCTAGCTACCTCCTATATATGTGTGTGTGTATGTGTGTGTGTGTGTGTGTGTGTGTGTGTGTGTGTGTGTGTGTATGTATATGTATACACATATATGTGTGTATGTGTATATGAATGTATATGTATACATATATGTGTATACACATATATAGATTGTGTATGTGCATATATATATATATAAATATTTGTGTGTATACATAAAGTGCTATATATCAAAATGTTAGCTGTGATAATTGTTATTATTATCAAATGAGATTTTTCTTTTGGACTGGATCTGTGATTTCATTGGTGACCATCTAATAGTGCAAATGTGAATACAAGTGACCACTTTCAGGGATTCCTTATTCACCCTAGCCAGGACCTTGCTACTCAGGCCTGAGAGGTTAGGTGCTTTTTGCAGGGGGTCACACAGACAGTAAGCTGCAAAGGTAGGCAGGACTGGGCCCCATTCTTCCTAACTTTGAGGAAGGTTCTCCATCCTCTTGGCTAAGGTGGAGGAGCTTTGTAACTGTGAACCCTGATAGAAACATCAGGTACCATTGCGGTGCTGTTATTTATTTTATTTTGGGAAAGATCAAACAGGGATCTCCTCATCACCCTCAGCAGTCTTATGCCCTCCCCACCCCCACTCCCTAGGGGAATCTTTTTTTTTTTTTTGGTGAGGCAATCAGGGTTAAGGTCACACAGCTAGTATGTGTCAAGGGTCTGGTCTAAAACTCAGGTCCTCCTGACTTCAGGGCCAGTGCTCTATCTACTGTGCCACCTAGCTGCCCCTCCCTAGGGAAATCTTAACCAGTCCACATTCCCCACCCCAGTGACAGCCTTACTCATAGGCATAGAGGGCAAAGGTTAGTGGAGCTGAGCAGGGCCTGAAAGTAAATGAAGGAAAATGCATGTATTAAGTGCCTGCTGTTGTGCCAGGCTCGATGCCAGCTGTTAGGTGCTAGAAACAGTCTCTGCCCTCAAACAGGTCATATTAAAATAAGAGAAGATAGAGGAGTGGTAGCTAAGGAAAGGAATTTTTTTTTCTGGGGAGCCATGGGAATGTACAGTTGAGTCATAGGACAACCAGTCAACTGTCTTCTCTTCTAAAAGCAATAGCACTGTCAGTTTGGAGGGTGGGATTTCAGCAGTATGCAAATTTGTGAAGAGGCATGAAGGAGAAGAGCTTTGGGAAATGTAGTGAACCCAATTCGAAAAAAAAATTTTTAATTTTATTTTTACTGGTATCTTTACATCACCTCCTTTCCCCATCTACCCAGTAAACCAGGCCTCCTTTGTAACAAAGAATGACAAAGAAAAACAAAAGCAGTTCAGCAAAACTGACTAATCCATCAGCCATGTCTGACAATGTATGCACTACTCTGCACCCCGTAGTCCCCCACCTCAGCAGAGAAGGAAAGGAAGTACATATTCTAATCTCTTCTCATGAGCCAAGCTTAATCATTATAATTATGCAGCTAATTTTATTTTTGTACTTTCCACTTACACTGTTGTCATTGTGCATATTGTTTTCCTGGCTCTGCTAATTTTATTCTGCATCAGTTCATATAAGTCTTCCTATGTATCTCTGAAGTCTTCTTTCTTGTAGTTACATTCAAGAACTATGTGCAGGACACTGGGGGGAGGGAGAGGGAGTGTCCCTGCCCTCTAGAAGCTTACATTCCCCTGGGGTGTGTGTGGAGCTACTTCAAGTCTACCTGGCCCTCTCCTAATTCTCCCTTGAGGCAGTATGGTGCAGTGATTTTTATCAGTCTCAAGTTTCAACCCTGGCTCTGACACTTGACCACTTGTATGACCCTGGACAAGCTGCTTGATCTCTCCAAGCCTTAGTTCCCTCATGTATAAAACGGGATTAAGAACAATACTTGAAGGTCTGTTATGAGGAATTTTGTTGTTCAGTCGAGTCCAACTCTTCATGACCCCATTTGGGGTTTTCTTGGCAAAGATACTAGAGTGGTTTGCCATTGCCTTCTCCAGCTCATTTTGCAGATGAGGAAACTGAGGCCAACAGAAGTTAAGTGACTTGCCCAGGGTCACACAGCTAGGAAGTATCTGAGGCCGGATCTGAACTCAGGAAGATGAGTCTTGGTTCCAAGCCCAGTGCTGTACCCACTGGGCTAGCCAATTGTCTGTTGTGAGAAAAGGGGTCTCTAAACTTCAAGGCTACATAAAAATGGAAGCTAGCATAGCTAATTTCTTCTTTCTGTCACAGAGTTTACCAGTTGAAGTATTTTATATCCTGGAGTCCCACAAACATGTTCACAGGTAATATGTGTTTGGAGGCTGCATAAAAAGAGGGGTGAGGGGGAGGGGACCAAGGAATGGGAGGGGGAGGGGAAGAGGGAGGAACTTATTTTTCCTGTCTGGGGTGTAGTAAAAAATCCTAGCTGGAAGGGCTTACTCACATGTTTTAATCTTGACTTTGTTTGAAATGCTCCCATCTTCCAAGATTCTTCCCCATGGGCTAGCTCAGGGGTGGGGAACCTGCAGCCTCAAGGCCACACGTGGCCTTCTACGTCCTTGGGTATGGCCTTTTGACTGAGTTCGAGTTTTATTTTTAAGGGGATTTGTTCTGTGAAGTTTGGATTCAGTCAGAGGGCCACACTTGAGCACCTAGAGGGCCACATGTGGCCTTGAGGCCCTAGGTTCCCCACCCCTGCTCACTAGCTCATTGATCATTGCAGCATGAGAGGGCACAATGAAGTCTTTGGGTGATTCACAATCTTGAAAGATACTATTTTTTTGCTAGAAATGTGAAAAATTAACTTGCCTTGAAATCCTCTTCAGGCTTAGAGCTTCTTTGAAATGAAGCAGCTAGGTAGTGGAGTGGATACAGCATGGGTCATGTGGTTAGGAAAGACCTGAGTTTAAATCCTGCCTTAGACACTTATTGCCTTGTGACTCTGGGCCTGTTTTTCTCACTTGTTAAAAAATAAGGAAATTGGAATTGATGACCTCAAAAATGGCCATTCCAGATCTATAGCTATTATATTTTGATTTAAAAATTTTTTTTTATCATTTCTTTAAAAAATACATTTTATTGATGTCTTTTGTCTTGGTATCATAGTCATTTCCCACCACCCCATCCCTTAGCTTGAACCCTCCCTTGTGGTAAAAGAAAATATTCAGCAAAATACAGAAACCTTGTCCAACAGTGTAGACAATAGTCTGTCCCAGTAGCCCCCCACCTCTCAGTTTCATCTCATCATGAGGCCCTTCATTAGTTTTTCCATTAAGTACTTTTGGTAATCTTTTCATTTACATTGTTGTTTTCATTATGTATATTGTTTCCTTGGTTCTATTTATTTAACTCTGCATCAATTCACACAGATCTCCCCACGTTTCTCTGAATTCTTTATGCCTGTCATACACCTACTATTCCATTCCATTCATTGATCACAGTTCTTTTCTTTATTTGTTCTCCACTTGGGCACAAAATTTGTTTCTAGTTCTTTGTTACCACAAAGAATGATATAATGAATATTTTGGTCTATATTGATCCTTTCTTTCTCTATTTGATTTCCTTGGGGAATCCCAGTAGTGGGATTGCTAGATGAAAGGGTAAGGAAAGTTTAGTCATTTTTCTTGTATAATTCCAAATTGAAATCCTGAATAGGTCTACTCTGCAGGTCTACCAACAATGCATCAGTAGGCCCATCTTCCCATAGCTCCTCCAACACTGACTGTTCCCACCTAGCTTCTATGATTTTAAGAGCTCTCTCCCCTTCTCTTTCTCCCTCCCTCCCTCTCTTTCCTTCTCTGTCTCTCCTCTCTCCCTCCCTTTCTTTTTCCTTCTCTCTCTCCTTCTCTCTCCCCTTCCCTCTCCTGTCTCTCCTTCCCTCCCTCTCCCCTTCTCTCTCCCCTTCCCTCTCCTCTCTCTCCTTCCCTCCCTCTCCCTCCTTCTCTCTCCCCTTCCCTCTCCTGTCTCTCCTTCCCTCCCTCTCCCTCCTTCTCTCTCCCCTTCCCTCTCCTCTCTGTCTCTCCTTCCCTCCCTCTCCCCTTCTCTCTCCCCTTCCCTCTCCTGTCTCTCCTTCCCTCCCTCTCCCTCCTTCTCTCTCCCCTTCCCTCTCCTGTCTCTCCTTCCCTCCCTCTCCCCTTCTCTCTCCCCTTCCCTCCCTCTCCCCTTCTCTCTTCCTCCCTCTCCTTCCTCCCCCCCCCCCAGACCAGGAAAATCTTGCTTCCGAGAAAAGTGGCTGAAGGACATCATTGAAAGCAAGATCATCCTAATGAACAGCATTAGCTTCTAATTCAATGATCCACTGTTGGTTTGGGGTTTTCAGAATTGGATTTCCAGTCCATGTGCACTAAATACAACATTACAAATTCAACCATAGAGTATATTTTGGGAAATAAAGTTGTCAGGACACTTAGAATCCAGCTGCTTGGAATTGTTTTCTATTTTCTATGTTTAAACACCCTCATAAATTTATCAGACAGTTGTTTTCTATGTCTCCAGACCATCTTCTCTACTAGTTTACATACCCCCCAGTTAGGGTCAGTTAGGTGGCACAGTGGATAGAGTATGGAGTAGGAGGATCTGAGTTCAAATTTGGCCTCAGATTCTTATTAGCTGTGTGACCCTGTGCAAGTCACTTAACTGTTTGCCTCAGTTTCCTCATCTATAAAATGAGCTGGACTGAGGACAGTGGTACCTTTGACAGTAATGAGGAAGTTAGGGCATCCAGTTCAAGATGTCTACTAGACAGCTAGAGATATGAGACTAGAGTCCAGGACAGAGGTTAGGACTGGACAGGCTGATCTGAGAGTCATCAGCATAGAGAACATAATTTATATGAGAGCTGATGAAAACACCAAGTCAAGTGGTATAAAAAAGAGAGCCCAGGACAGAACTTTGTGGAACATTCACTGTTAGCAGGCATGACATAAGGATCCAGCAAAAGAGACAGGAGCAATTAGGTAAGTAGGAGAACCAGACAGCAGTGTCACAAAAACCTGGAGAAAAGATTATCACAGAGAAGAGTGTTATCAACAGTGTCCAAGGCTACAGAGAGATGAAGAACATTGGACTGAGACCAGGTCATTGAATTTGGCCATCAAGATCATTAACTGGAGAGAGCCGCTTTGGTTAAATGTCAGAAGCCAGACTATAACGTTAAGAGAGGAAAGGAAGTAGATGCCCCCTATTGTAGCCGGCCTTCTTTCTCAATGAGTTTGGTCAGAAAAAAGGAGACATAAGACAAGAGGTAGCAGAGCTGGATGGATCACAAGGGTTTTTTGGAAGATGGCAAAAACATGGGTCTGTTTTTAAGTAGTGGGGAAACAGGAAGTGACCAAAGATTAGTTAGACGGTAGGCATGAGAAAGGGGTATCTGCCGAAGACGATGGAATGGGATGGCAGAGGGAAAAGATACTGTGTGTAAAGTGCTTTGAAATCAATAAAATCCTAGAGAAATATCTCCTATTGATACCGAATTCTTCTGTCTCTAGCCAAAACCTCCCTCCCTATAACTTTGACTACTTGGTTCCATCTCTTCCCCTCTGAGGCAAAACAAACAAGCAAACAACAACCCCAGCCCAACAACAAAAAAACCACCCTTCCTATGGTTTTGAGTCTCCTCCTCATCCTCATTTCCCATCAGCTTCTCAAGCCCTCCCCTCCCCCTCCAACACAGCTGATTTATGCAGTTGTTAATCAATATTAAATAATTGTTGCTTTTCAACTCATCTACTTACTTGTTTGATAAGAAAGTTCATCCATCTGTAAAGTGCTTAGCACAGTGCCCCACGCATAGTGCTATATAAATGTTAGCTATTATTTTGAGGGACTGAGATCAGGACATTTAATGAGAGAATAAAGCATTTAGTGGACTTGAATAAATGTAGTATCTTATACTAAATGAACAGGCAAATCAAGGAGTCAGACTTTGACATTTCAGCCTCACCTACTCTAGGGTCATTAGGTAGGCTTTTTGGGTCTTATTTCTGGAGTAGAGATACCATTTCACTTCTTGAATTTATGGATTTTCCCATTAGCCTAAGTGTAGTTAGGCTATTAAGATTAATTCCAGATGAGTAGACATCATTTCCAATTCCAATCATGTAGCAGAGAGACTATGCTGTATGTGCTGGATACCTGGTTGTGTGGGCTAAGTGAGCTGTGGACTACCTAAGCACAGTGACCATCCTGGGGCAGAAGACAAATGTTTGGCACATACCAAGACAAAGCTTTGAAAAACCAGATGGTTAGTTACCTAATTCACAATTGTAAGAAGCACTTTGTTGCCCTCAACAGCTCCTCAAACCACCAGAAACATGAAATTTACTTTATTTGTACAAAAATAATCCAAACTTAATACATCATCAGTGGAGTCAATATTCTCACTTCGTTCCCTAGCTCCTGTTGGTACAATAAGATAGAGCTAAAATGGGGAGGACGATAATGGTGGGTGACGATACATCAAAATACCCAGCCGGTATTTCCCATTTCTTCCTAACGTCAAACAGCATTACACGCTTTTAGAAGCAGTAAGTTGAATCTATCTTCTCTATAGTCTATTCAAATAAAGTTATTCTTAACAATGAAAACAAGGGGTTCCCCCTTCCATATAACACAATAGCTAAATAACAAACATTCGTGAATAACAGATCTTTTCTTAGAGATCCATCTTCACAAAAGGGGGAAGATTTCAGCATTTGTAGGTTCAAAGATTCTAATATATTTTATTTGCCCCTAACATGCTTATGGATCACAGTTGGAAACCTATTTCTTTAGATGCTATCTATTGGCTAGGCACAATTGAAGCAGAAATAATGTCATTACACTGGTATACTGGATATCTCAGGCTTTTAAAAATTAAAAGAACTCAAAGCTACTTAAAAAAAAACCCAGCAACTGAGGTTAATAGGAGTTAGAGCCGGAATCCTTAAGAGATTTATTTTATGTATGAGAATTGTGAGGCCCAGAGAAAGGAAAGGACTGACCGAAAATTACACAGGGAGGGAAGCTGCATTCAGATTTGAATCTCTTATTTGCAATTCAACTGGTCTGTTATACAAGGAAAGAAGGAACCAACATTCACTATTCCTGGAATAAGCTCTAGCTTGTCCAATTATTCAAAACATTTTCAAATTCCCTATTTTCCCTTTGCAATCATGACCTCATTTTTGTCACCAACAATGGGCTCCTTCCTGTGTTTCCATCAAGTCTACTGAAAGCACATTCGAAATTAAGGGGAGGCTGGTTTTGTTAAACCCAACAGAGGATGTAACACATAGGTAATAGAAGCACCATCCTGCAGGGTGAGATTTACAGTTCCTATCTTTTGTCAAGCTGACCTTTGCCATGTCTCCCTCCTTCTCCCCCGCTGCAAATGCACATTCATAGAATTACAGAAGGTCAAAGTTGAAAACAACTTTGAGGATAATCTAAGTTCAATATGCTGTGTGATTTGGGGCCAGTCTTTCACCTGAGCTCCCCAGCTCTAGACTTTAAGGTCCCGAATTTTCATTAATCGACACCCTTTGGGGACCAATTACACCTATCCGAAAAGATCCAAAGAAAGCACCTAAATTCTACCAACAACATATTTGTGCAAAGGAACTAACTACATAAAATAAATGGCACTTTTATAAATACAAATCATACATATATGAGAGAAGAAGAAATTGATATGAAGATTTTTTTTTAACTTAAATTTCTGCTACATAACTAAGAAAATTCCTCAATTGTCCTCCTTCCCCTTTGTCTTCCTATAGATGATCTCTCGGAAGCTGGCTAGAATCCTGCTTTCTCTCTTCTGTCTCTCTTCTTGGTTGAATGAAGCCAAGGCCCGTTTCTCATCAGCACTGTAGATCTGGTTTTCTTTACGGAGACGCACGGCCTCCATTCGACGGTGCCTAGAAAAACGTTGTAATATGAGCCTAATTCTACCCCTTCCCACCCCCAGCAAATGTTCTCATAGACTTCCCAGTCTTTCTGAATACCAAGTAGTCCATTTAAAAACACTGTGTCTGAAATGGGTTAGATTTGAAAAAAGCCAAGCTGATTTTGTATCCTTTCTAGCATCCAATCCAACCCATCTTCCCTGAATCACTGAAGCTGTCAGCATAACAAATACCACTTAGTCTTAACCACCAAGGGCACAAGATTGGTCTGGTGTTATCCGTAGTCTACTCTGGATAGCAACATAACTAGATGTTGGCAAATGGATCACCTAGGCAACCATGTCTCTGCTGGATCCTAACAGCAGGGCACATGAGGGCGAGTGTGCTATCAATCCGGCAAAACCCTGCAAGGCTCCAGTCCACTGAATAAGCAACAGCCCCCGTGGCTATGAACTGGACCAGGTACAAAGCCCCGATCAAAGAGAAATTCTAGCACGTAGGCTGGGGTAGTGCCTTGAAGAGAAGAAAACAAAACAGTGCACCATAAGGCTGGCCCTACAAAGGGCAGCAAGGATCTCTTATGGTCAGGAGGGCAATGCCCAGGAACAGTCCTCCCAAAAGATAGAGTGGTCTGGAGGTTGCTGCTGGTCTCAAGTAAGGACACAGTCTGACATCCCACATATCATTAAGATTAAAACTGACTGGATCCATATGTATACATATGTGTGCACAGGTATGTCACTGTCAGTGGACTCTCTGTGCCAGGGACCATTCCTCTGATTCTCAGAATGAAGCTTGGCCCATTTCGGACTGGTTCTCAATGACAGAACTTAACCTCCCCATTGGACTTAACCCACCACACAGGCAAACTCAGAAATAGGGAACGTTCTTTGGTGAAAGGGCACTTCTCCCATCACCAAAATGTTAGGATCCTTTCTCCAGGGGCAGACATGTGCAGTTGTGCTCAAATAGATTCTCCCAGAGACTAAGAGAGCTATGAATATTTATCACATGGCAACTTAAGGACTAGAGAAAGACACTTGTAGGACATGTTTTTATTACTTTTTTTTTTTAGGCAATTGGGGTTAAATGACTTGCCCAGGGTCACACAGCTAGTAAGTGTCAAGTGTTTGGTCTGAGGCTGGATTTGAACTCAGGTCCTCCTGACTTCAGGGCCAGTGCTCTATCTACTGTGCAACCTAGCTGCCTCCAATTTCTCTTATTTTTTTAGGACATGTTTTTAGAGGAGTGATTTTGTTTGTAGTTTGAGGTCAAACTACACGTAGAACAGGTCGGTAGCACAATGGATAGAACACTGTACTTAGAGTCAAGAAGACCTGATTTCAAATCCTGCTTCAGATACTTTCTAGCCTTTCAACCTTGGGGTGCTTAATCTCTCTTAGACTCAATTTCCTCATCTATAAAATGGGGATAAGAACACCTACCTCAGAGGGTTGTCGTGAGGTTCAATGAGATACTTTAAAACATTATATAAACACTAGTTATTATTGCTGTGGTTATTATAATACCAACAAACTAGGCATGTTTGTATTGTTTTAATTCCAAATCTTTACTTGAAATAACTACCACTAGACCCTAATTATTATGGTGTGTACAATACCACCTAATCTCTGAGATGGAATTCAATGTCAAGAACCCACCTGCTCCCACTCATGACATAGCCTGAGCATTCAAATGCTGCAATCTCTTCACTGGTCAGACCAATTTCTCCTCTCCGAGGGATCCGCTTTCCAGCCTTCACATATTGAGCCATGGCTGCGCCTTCACCAGGCAACAGGGCACGACCATAGCTGCAAAGAAATTAAGACAGGGATTTGTCCACTAGGTCACCTCTGTACTGAAAGGAGAGATGGTAAACCGAAGACACAAGTCAAGATTTCCTTGGGAAACAACAGAGAAAGCAATGACTAGGGAGTAGGCAGCTTGGCCTAGAAATGCAGAGTTCCTCTGGGACAGACAAATGGAGGGATCATTATTAGTGATTACAGACTAGTATAGATCTAAATATTCTCCCCTCATGATGATTTTGCTTCCAATTAATTCTTTCTCCATTGTTTTCCCTTTGAAAAGAAGAAAACAAATCCTTAAACAGCATTTCTGAAATTTCCATTTATTTAACCTATGGTTGCTGGGCAGGGACCACAGGCCCCAGTGATAGCTCACTTGAAGAGTGGCAGCTCATGTGACCACCAAGAGAAGGTTTGAAAGGTACATAAACATGAGAAGCCTGAACATTACATTTTTTTTTTCTTTTTTAAAATATATTTTTATTTATTTCATTAGATATTTCCCAATTATATGTAACATTCATTTTTGGAAATTTTGAGTTCGAAATGCTGTCCTTCCCTCCCCCACCCCTTGAAAAGGCAAGTGATGTATGATTTACACATGTAAAGTCATGCAGAACATATTTCCATATTAGTCATGCTGCAAAAGAAAACAAGAAAAATAAAGTTAAAAAATTGAGTTTTCTACTCACTTCAAAGGCTTCTCATCTGGAACAGAGTATACTTTGGGAGCTTCTGGTCCAATTAATCCCTCACTTTCTACATTCTCTGCAAAAAAAAAAAAGAAAAGAAAAAAAAAAGGAACACACACACACACACACACAAACATAAAGGTTACCAGTTGGTTAATTAACCAAATATTTAATTAAATATTTATTGAGCATATTCAGTCCACCAGGTAGAATATATTCATGAGGTACTATTCATGAGTCCCTTATTGTGGGAGCTTCCAATTCAGGGGAATAATGCCAGACAACAAGGCACAGCTTTGGGCCTTATGAAACTGCTAGACACACCAGATTCAGGATGCTTGATGCTCCTAAACCAGGGGTGGGGAACCTGTGGCCTGAAGGCCACAATGTGGCCTCCTAGGTCCTTAAATGCAGCCTTTCAACAGAATCCAAATTTTACAGAACAAAAAAATTTAGATTCCGTCAAAAGGCCACACTTAAGGACCTTGGAGGCCACATTGTGGCTTTAAGGCCACAGGTCCCCTACCATCCTAAACGATCATCCCCACGCCTACGCTTACGAGTAGAGATGAGAGTTGAACTTGTCATTCTACAGCAGTTGCCTTACAAGAGAACTTACTCAATGATTCCTCCAGGCAGGGATTTTCCAGAAATTTTTCATCCAAGTTTTGGCCTCTCAACTTAGGTGATTCTTTCTTGTGCTTATACTTTTTATACTTCCTTGACTTCTTCCTGTCATGATTATAATTTATTATGCACATTAAACATCTAGGAAAATCCACCAAGATGCAAGGAAATTTGCTTGTTAGACAAGTTGAAGATCTTCCTTATAGAATTAAGGCATCAGAGATCTAGAACTGGGGAGAGACTATCTACTCCAGGGCAGGGAAGTGACTTGCCCAAGGTCACATGAATAGTAACCATCCCAGGTAGCATTTTAAGTAAAGCACTCAGACTTCAGAACCAATTTCTTTCTATGACTGGGCTTCCCTTTCATATTTTAAATGATATTAAAATGATATTTCATATCATCTGAGAAAAACCGAATGCTTTTCTTCTCTTTTTTAATAGTATTTTTTTTCAAATTACATGTAAATGACTAATATGGAAATATGTCTTGCATGACTACACATATATAACCTATATCAAATTGCTTGCCTTCTCAATGAGTGGGGTGGGAAGGGAGGGACAGAATTTGGAACTCAAAATTTTACAAGTAAATGTTAAGAATTGTTTTTACATGTAATTGGGGAAAAACAAAATACTAAATAAATAAATAATAAAATCTAAATATATTAAAAAACAACCAAATTACATGTTAAAGACAATTTTTAACATCCTTTTTTAAAAATAAAATTCTGAGTTCCAAATTTTCTCCCTCCCTTCCTTCTCTTACCCCCTCCTAAGACGGTAAGCAATTTGATATAGGTTATATATGTGAATGTTTTTCTTCTTAACAATCAATTTTATTTTCCCTGCTTGACTCGAGGGAGAAAGTAAACTACAGGTAGGTTCTGGGAACTGTCAAAGAGAATCCAAGGCAGAATCCTCAGCTTAAGTATCCTATTCACACTGCTTGGTAAGTTTAACCAGGGCAGCTATGTGGTATAGTGGATAAAGCACTGGCCTTGGAGTCAGGAGGACCTGAGTTCAAATGTGGTCTCAGACATTTGACACTTACTAGCTGTGTGACCCTGGGCAAGTCACTTAACCCTGATTGCCTTGCAAAACAACAATAATAATAAATTGAGGTCTTTAAAAAATATATAGTTTAACCTATTTAATAAAATCACAAAGGTCCATTCTCCACCCCCAACATAAAAATCTAAGGGAACCTACAAAAGAGCTGTCATCCTACAGAAAGGTGAAATAAAGTCATTTCAAAGTCACTCTTACACATGATGTTTCTTCTTTTCCTTCTTCTTCTTGCTTTTCTTGGACTTCTTGCCTTTCTTTAATTTCCTTTTCTCCTTTGAATCTGACAATTACAGCAGATAATAACTAGAAAGTCACGACCTAAACAAGCCTTTGAGTAGGCATGAAGGTGTCATTGTGCTCATTTAAAAACAAGTAAGCAAACAAAACAAAAAACGAATCCAAAAAACCTGGGAAATAGAACAATTCCCGTCTCATCTCTTACAAAGGAGGAAATTCACTCATGGTAACTGGCAAAACAACAGAAAATGCACTCAGGGTAATGGATTGATATTAACTATGTTAGCAGAGGAAAATCAGTGACCTGTTTAAAAGCAGCTTTCTGAGAAAGCCTTCGCTGGACCATCTTCCATAGTTTTAGCTACCCTGAGTTAACCATTATCAGATTTTTCAGTGATTCCCAGAGCTGGAAGAGATCCCAGAGATTGTCTAGTCCAACCCCCTGCTGAAGCATGAAAGTCTCTCTCCAACAGCCATCCCTGAAAAGCAATCATCCAGCCTTCGCCTGAACACTTCCACTGATGGGAAATTCACTGCTTCCTAAAGTAGCCCATTTCACTCTGGGACAGCTCTGACAGTTAAGGGGTTTCTTCCTTGTAAGATGGCACAGCAGTAGGATTGTATTGCAAATGACAAAAACACACATCAGAAGAATACAAACATATCAGGGACCCTCTTCTAAGTGACCAAAATTTTAGCCGAAAACCTCATCTGGGGAAGAAGTAAGGCAAGGTTGGCTTTCTTACCATTAGAGTCATCACTGTCCTCCAAGTCCTCATCACTGTCCTCAAAATATTTTCTATGTTTTCTTTTGGATGACTTCTTCTTCTTCTTCTTCTTCTTCTTCCTCGTTTTCTTAGCTCTATCCTTGGAATGACTAGACTTCTTCTTTCTCTTCTTCCTTTCCTCTGTACAAATATTTAAAGAGCATTAAGGGTAAAACTACTTAAGTCATTTCCCAGGACACCCCTCCCCACAATCGAACCTTCCCTTATAACCAACAGCTAAGCAAAATCAATCAACACTGAGGCCACATCTGACTGGGTATGTAACATTCCACACCCACAGTTCCCCACCTCTCTAACAAAAAGACAGAGATGTATCTCCCCACTTCCTCCCCAGGACCAAGATCAGCTATTAACAATCATTCATTCATTGGCTTCATTGCATTCTTTTCATTTCTTACCGGCTCTACTTTCTTCAGGATGCATCAGATCACAGACATCCTCTCATGTTTTTCTGAATTCCTCATATTCGCCGATGTCTTACCAAACAATCCTATTCCATTCTATTCATTTATACGCTACGGTCTATTCAGCCAGTATCTACTTTGTTTACCGTTCTTTGCTACCGCAAAAAAAGGCTGCTATGGATATTTTGGTATATAGAGAGGCTTCTCTTGTGATGTCCTTAGGGGTCTATGCCTTAGCAGTGAGATATGTGAGTGAGACCAATCCACAGCTCTGTCAAGTGTGTTAGTGCGCCTATATTCCTGTAGGCCTTCCAACTTTGACTATTTCTCTCTTTTGTCAAATTTGCCATTTTGAGGGGGGTGACATGAAGGTTCAAAATTGCCTTAATTTGGAGTAGTCCTCCATTGGCAAATAGCTCTTGAGCTTACATATTTGGGTTAATTCCCCATACCTCTTAGATATTAGCCCTTTATAAGAGATACTTATTGCAAAGTTTCTCCCTACAGGAGTTTGTTCCTATCTGTAGCGGTTTTATACAAAAGTTTTTCAATTTCATGTAATTGGAATTTTCTATTTTATTTTTCATGATCACCAGTATCTCTGGTTTGGTTAAGAATTCTCCCCCTAACGAGTTTTGAAAGGCGCTCCCTTCCATTTTCATCCAATTTGTCAATGATGAAACCTTTAACATTTAGGTCACATATCCATTTGTCACTTAATGTGATATATAGTATGAGATGCATTTATCTACCAAATTTTCTAGTTTTCCCAGCTGCTTAGCAAAAGCAGTGAATAATTGAAAAATGAAAAATAAAAGGAATGAATAATTTTTCCCCACCCAGTTTTATGTTTTTAAGAGTACTGAATAATGGAGCTACTGAATTCCATTGTTTCTGAATCTAGTTTGTTCTAATGACTTATTTTTTATTTTTGACCAGTACCAAACAGTTTTAATGATTACTGCTTTATACTATAGTCTGAGGTATGGAAGTGCTATTCCTATTTTTTTCCCCATTATTTCCTTTCAGATTCTTGATCTCTTGTTCCTCTACATAAATATTACAATTATTTTATGTTGTCTAGTTCTATAAAGTAGCCCCTTGATAGTCTGATTCCTATATCACTAAATTTGCAAATTTAGGGAGCATTCTCATTTTTATTATATTAGGAGGGCCTAGCCTTGGACACCAAATAATCTAATTATTTAAGTCTTCTCTTGTTTCTGTAAAGAGGATTTCATAATTGAATTTAAATTAAGCTGCAAATGTGTCGGCCAACCAACTCCTAGATACTTTATGCATTCTGTAGTTATTTTGAATGTGATTTTCCTATCATTTCCCTCCTGGTTTTTTTAATTGCTAAATGAATATGTTGATGATTTTTTTATTTAATATGAGTACTGCTACTTCATTGAAGCAATTTATAATCTCAGTTTCTTTCCTGATCCTCTGAGGTTTTCCTAACAAAACCATCATGTCATCTGCATACAAGGATAACCTTGTCTCCTCTCTACCTTCATGCCGTTAGTTTCCTTTCTTTTTCAATGAGATTGCCAACATTTCTAGAACAATGTCAAATAATAGGGGGCATCCTTGTTTTATACCTGTATTTACTGTGAGAGCTTCAAGCTTCGAGTGGCACAAATAATGCCAGCTTTTGTTTTTACATATTTTATTATTAAAAATAGACTTGCTCTACCTATTCATGTTAGAGTTTTAAAGCGTAACTGATACTCTATTTATTAAAGTTTTTCTGACTCAATTGGCATAATTGTGTGGTTTTTGTCCTTAAAAAGATTAATCATAACTGTTTTTCCTAATGTTGAATCTTCCTTACTTCTGTGGAATAAATCCAACTTCATCATAATAGATAATTCTGGAGATATATTGCTGTGGGCTTTTTATTAATGGCTTGTTAAGAAATATTTCTGATTTTCAAAGTCTATTGCTTTACTATTCATAGCCCCATCCACACCATCCAAGAAAAAAAGCTTTGTCATTAAGCAAAAATACCTTTTAAATCAGAAGCAGCATTTTTATCAGATTTTGTCTCTTCCTCCTCGGGAGTATGCTCATCTGAACTAAATGTAAAGAAAAGAGTTGCAAAAATTAGAAATGTGATAAAATAAAGTGTTTACTGCTTTGATGGATCTATGATCTGTGTGGGTTCATGCTTAATTCCCAACCAGTCCACCTCCTTTTTGATATATTTTGAAAAGTCAACTATTTCCCAATCAGTGACATCATCCCCTCTTCTCATTAAAAATAAGTTAATTAAAACAATTCTAATATAGTGATTGGGACATACATAACATTCTACTCTTATAATTTACAAGTTTTTAACAGAAAGCAAAGAAAATGTACTTTAGCTTCAGGCTGGGATTATTTATCCTGTTGTTATGAAATCTAGAAAAAGAATATAATTTTCTTCCAAGTCTACAAAGGGCATAAGAGACAGTAATATCTGTTCAGCTCCCCAAGAATAAGGGGAGAGTAGCTTAAACTGCAACATAAGGTATTTAGGTCAGTTTTAAGAAACTTAGGTGGAAAGGAAGGAGGAAAAGATTGAAGAAACATTTCAAATTCATAGAATGCTCAAGCTGAAAGGAGCCTTGGAGATTATTTCGTCCACTCTTTCATAGACCTAAAGGGGAAAAGAAACTAGTCCATTGGTCCCTTGGAAAGTAACTCATCTATCTAGATGATATGCATGATCTCCTCAGAAGGAATGGTTTAATTTTATTTACGTAGGAGAACAGGGATGAGCTTCAGTCAAAATAGTGGAGTTGGAAGAACTCTCAATGGTCATTTTCATCCACCTATTTACCCCATGCAGAAATGCCTTTCCAACAAGTGGTCATCTGACCTTTTTTATGAGGAATTCACTGCTGCCTCCCAAAAGCAGCCTGCTTCAGCAGTTCTAGTTGTTAGAAAGTCCTTCCTGATGTGCATTCAAAAATCAGAGTCTTTATCATTTTCTACCCATTGGTTTTTGGTTCTGCATAACCTCCAAGGGCTCTTTCCAGACCTCTATGAATACAAGTTCCCTCAGCCTTTAAGAGTCTGCAATTTTCTGCAATATCTACAAGGGCACATTTCTGGTGATGCAACTCCATACGGCATCAGGAATCACCAGTTCATTGGTTACAAACGCTGCTGCAACTGAGCAAAGTGAACCCAGATGTGCAAGAAAAAGAGAACCCCAAAATGAAGACTATTGCTAAAGAAAAAGGAAACATGGGGAAAAAGAGGAGAAACAGCTTAAGACTGTAAAGAGGAGCGTACATAATATAATTGATTCACCAGAAGGACCATTTGCTCCCTATTAAAATTCATTTTGTGATATCCATATATGAGTATATATGTTACAGCTAGGCTAGGCAAAAAGTAAAGTCATTGCAAATAGTTAGCAGTTTTATATTAAATCTTGCTATGAATGAGAAATCAATGTCACATAAACACAAGAATGTTTAAAGAATTAATGTTCTATTTTCACTAAAAAAAAAAATGTTTCATTCTTAGGTCAGTTCTACGGCATAAGATTTAGGAGGAAGATAATGTGGAGCCCCAAGACAGAAAGTAAACCATGAGACAGGTTTGAAGCTTTTCATTTAGCTAGCAAAAAAAAAAATCCTCTCATTTTTACATGTAATTGAGGAAAATAAAATACTAAATAAATCATTTTTTTAAAATGTGGCTACATAAAAAATTCTCAATTAAGACAGCTTCTGAGTAAAAAAGTATAAGATACTCTACTTTTGCAAAGGGAAAATCACTTACTCTGGTTCAGGATTTTTTGGAGAAAGTCCCCAAACTTCAGGAGCCCCTAGTTCTCCAATTCTCTCTCTCTCACTTAATCTCCTAAAAGATACAGGAATCTAGATTTAGTAAATATGTTGTACATATACTGTACTATATTCTGCTTTCTAAATCAGTGGTCTCCAAATCACATACTGCCCATTCCAAGGCGTGATGGAGCAACTGGAGGGTGGGGAGATGGTTTGACTCTCTCCCACCCATAGTCAAAAACAATCACACCTCCTGTTATCCCCCAACATTTTCCCACTCTGTCCCCTCCATATTTCTGGACCTTCCCTTTTTCTCCTTTTGAGAGACAGAGTGAATTTCACAAAACTACCAGGCATGGGATGGTTTATGACACCACATTTCAGATCTCATTTCCTTATCTTTCTCCTCAAATCCACTCCTCTTCAGACCCCCTCCCCCCCATTTATGAAGAAGGTTTTTGGGAGCCATTCTCAACTCACTGGTACTCACCCCACATAATCTAGTCACTTATCAACTCTTATTATCTCTACCTCTACAATATCTGGAGAATCCATCCCCCTTCTCTCTGCTCACACAGCCAGAAGCCTAGCTTGGGATCTCAGCATCTTCTCCTGGACTACAGCAACAGCCTCATTTGGCTTGTACTGCCTTATCTCTCCCTTCTCCAATTAGTCCAGGTGCCAAAATATTAGGTCTGACCAATTTACTTCTCTACTCAAACTCCAGACTCTCTCTGTTGACTCTAATATCAAATACTATGTGATCTTTTATCTCACATTTAATATTTTATGTGTAAATTTTATAATGCACATAATTATCAGCACAGTGGCACCTATAAACATTATTACATATTGTGAGTTATTATCATAAATATTATTCTATATGAAATATTTGGGGCCCACATAGCCTTCCAGTCACCCAGGTTTGCAAATTCAGAGCCAATTCTTAGCTCCTCATATTCCCTTCAGCCCTCCTCTTGCATTCCTATAATAAATAAGGGCAGTAGATAAGACTTATTTTCCATGGAAGGCTTTGGGCCAAGTCCATATACACGTTAGTATTTCCCTTTTTACTCACCACTATATTGAGCCTCACAAGATACCATCGTTAGCCTCCTGAGAGAGGCAGAGATTAAGACAACTATTATCTTTGATTTTAAAATATGGGAAAAGTTACAACAGCTTTTACACTATCACATACTTCAAGCTAGAAGAGACTTTAGACGTTATGTAGTCCACACCCTTCCCTCCCATTTCACAAACCAGATAGCTAGCTCCCAAGAGGACGGTTCATCAAATGCTAGATGAGGATTCAAAACCCACTCTCAGCCATTTACTAGCTATGCTATCCTGGGCAAATTCCTAACCTCGATTTCCTCATGGTACACTTAAGGGTCTGTTCTTAGACTCTTTCCAGGTTTAAATCTATCATCCTATGAGCCCTCTGAGACCAACTTGCTCAGTACCATCAGCAGTAACCGTCAGAGCCCGGATTCGAACCTAGGTCCTCTGACTCCCCAGAGGCAAGGCTCTCTCAAAGGTGCTATTTTTTTCCCTTAAAAAAAACAAACTAATTTCACTTAAAAAAATCTTTCATTCTTTTAAAAAAAAGTATTTTGTAATACACTTGGCCAACACCAACAAATGTGAATATTTTAATAATACACCCATTCTCTGGGAGGTACCACACACGATGCCTCAGATGAATAGCAGGAGACCCCTCTGACCCTCAGAGGGACAGGTGCAAGTCTCCCAAAAACATTTTTCAAGTATTGCCTAAAGTTACCTATACCGATGAGTTCCTAAGGAGAAGGAAAAGGGGTGGAAGGGAGAAAACAAATCGAGAATTAGTGAAGGGGAGATGAGACTAATAGGACGGAAGAAACCGATGGAAAAGGAAAGAAGGGGAAAGAAAAATGGAAAAGGGGTTGGGGAGGCAAGGGAAAGATCGTTGAGGGGAGGGATTTAAGTGAAGCTCAGAGTGTCAGAAGAACCAATGAAAAAAGAAAGGGGGGGGGAGGAGAGAAAAAAATGGGGAAGAGGTTGGGAGGCAAGTGAGGACCAGAAAGTAGGAGAGAAAGGGGAGAAAGCGGGCCCGGGGGGAGGGGGGGACTTACTTTTGCCGAAGACTCTCCTTCGCTTTTTCGAGGTAGCTGGACCAGGGCTGGTAATGCCGGGGCTGGTAATGCCGGGGATCGCGGCGGTAAAAGCGGCCAGAGGCGGTAGATAATGGGAATGAGAAGGACTGGCCATGCAGGACAGAGAGCCACCCCCTGGGCTTCAGAAAGCTCAGGCTCGGACCCGGGAGGATGCTGAGGCCAGATCCCTGCTCCAAGTTAGGCATGCGGCCGAAGCTGGGCGCAGGCACCAGGCAGGAATTAAGGCTGAGGCTGAGGCCGGCGATCGGAGCCGGCCTCAGACTGGGACTGAGTCTCGGACTCAGGTGCTGGCTCTGGGTGGGCACCGGGCTCGGGCTAGGGCTCGGGACCGGGCTCGGCGTCGAGCTCTGGCTCGGTGCCGACCCAGAGCTGAGAGGCAGCTCGCTGGTCAAGCAGGCCGTCGCGGCGATGGCTGCCGCGGGGGGTCCGCCGCCGTCGTGGTAGTCATCGCGCTCCCTGGAGCTGGAGCGGGAGCGGGAGGAGGAGCAGGAGGGGGCATTGGGGCTGGAGCTGGACCGAGATCGGGAGCGGGACCGAGATCGGGGCCGCGGGAGGGACCCGGGCCGAGTGTGGGAGCGGGGCCGAGTGCGGGAGCGGCGGCTCCGCGACGAACGCTTGGCCTCGCCGCTCTGGGGGTTCTCACTGGAGTCGCCGGACTCGTTGGCATCGGCGCCGCCGCCGCCGCTGCTGTCCCCACCACCAGAGCCGGGGCTGCCGCCGCCGCCGCTGCCCTCGCCGGAGCTGCTGTCACGCCGGCTGTGGCCGGTGCCCCCCGTCCCTCCACCTGACGCCGCCCCGCCTCCACCTGCCGCCCCGCCTCTGCCTCCACCTGCACCCCTGACTTGCCGTAGCTGGGTGCCGGTCACCTCCTCAGGTCTGTAAGAGCGGGATGCGGAAGCCATGGAGGAGCGCCGATCCGCTTCACAGGCTCCTTGAAGCACTGAGACGGAGAGAGCTCCGTCCAGTTGCCGAGGCGCCGACATCCAAACGAGGAAAATCCGCGGCGCTAGGAACACCCGAACTTCAACTGACTGCCCGACTTGTGGCGCGAGCTCTCAACGTGTATGCAATGCGCATGCGTCTCCCTCCGTGTGGGGTCTCCCGGGCTACTAGGATTCGCGCCTTCCTCCCGTGCCTAGGCTTCGATTCCCGCCTTTGTCGAGTGCTGAGCTTTGCGCCTTGCAGTTCTTGCTTTGCCCCTTCCTAATTGTATTTATAAAGCATGTGTTTCATCAATAGTTGCTTATGCCAATGAAATCACAAGTCAAACCCAAAAAGAAAAAAGAAAGCAACTCCCTGTAAGGAGAGCCCTCTACCAATGCACATTTTCAACTTCTGCAGTTTGCGGTTTTAGAGAGTTGCTTGGGAACATTGAGAGGGAATATGACTCATGCAGGGTCAGACACAATGTATCAGACGAGAGATTTGAATCTAGTTTTTCCTGGTTTCAAGGCAGGCAGATCCTCATATTCTCAGGCCTCAGACTCCTGTACGCACCCGCTGGACTCTGCTGCCTCTCTTTAGGCTATTACTCCCCACCTATTGAATTCTCCCTATAAACAAAGCAAAACCAGGCAAACTGGTGAGGGCACAGGATGCCTGCCCTGTATTCAAACTTTTCACATTCTCCCCCCATCCCCTACCCCTGATTTGCTCCACCCTTGGTGCAGAATGTTTTATTTGGTTATTTGTTCTCTCAAATGCCCTTGTCATCTTACAGAGGGGGAAACTAAGACCTAGAGAGGGAAAGGGCTCTCAGGATGTCAGATCTGGAAAGGTCCTTTGAAACCACCCAGTCCCATCTCCTCTTATTACAAAGGGGGAAACTGAGGTCCAGAAATAGGAAGGAATTTTCTCAACTTTACACAGGCTGACTCCCCATCTAGTCACGTAGGGTTACAGCCTCAGGATTACACTGCCTTGGTTAAACAAAAACATAAGGGCAAGCTAACAGTTCAATGCATGAATACAAGGGTTGTCATAAACCAATAGATTCTTTTATTAATTTTTTAAAATTATCTTTTGTTTTTACATCACCTTCCTTTTCCAATGAATCCTCTCCCCCATCCCCACCAGGAAAGCTATCCGTTATAACAAAGAAGGGAAAAAAAAGCAGTTCAGCAAAGCGGAAATCAATCTAGACACCAATCAAGTTGGATTATACGAAGTATTTCACACCCATAGTCTCCCACCTTTACAAAGAATGAATGAAAAAATATTAAGAGCTCTCTTTGTACAAAGCATTGTGCTAAGCACTGGGGATACAAATTGAAAAGTCAGACAGTCCCTGCTGTCAAGGAGCTCACATTCTAATGGGGGTGAGGGGAGAAAACAACCCCTAGGGAAGGCTTCATTTTCAATCAGATGGAAAGGTCCTATTGTCCTTAGAGTACAGCAGCAAAGCAGGTGGTAATATTTCTTCTTTAATGTTATTTCCATTGACAAAGTCACATCCATGAGTGATGTTGAACCATTTGACAGTACTAAGGACTTTGGGGACAGGAACTTTCTTTTCCAGATCTTCAGTAGCCATGGCTAAAGCACCTGCAGAAACAGTTGCCTGGTCACACCTCCATGGGGTTGCTCCCCCAGATAAAGGCTGTTGGGACTGACCTGGAAGCAGGACTGTCCAGATTCTCTGTGGCAGTTGGTCAGTGGTTGGTGCTGCTGATGCTTAGGAAGGTTGGCCCCTTCTCCACAAAAATTTCTCTTCTCAGTGCTGCCTGGGAGGCTGGGCTGGGCTAGAAGCAGAGCTGGTAGTCTGAGGGACCTTGCTATCCCCAGGGCTCTTGGTTCTCAAGGTTCTGAAAGGGGAGGCGGGGGGGGGGGGGGGGGGAGTGGCAGTGGTTTGATTCACCTGACACATGCTACCTCCTGTCTCTCCCTCAGAGCAATTTCTTTCAGCCAAGCCTTGTTCACCTGCCCCATCTGTAACAGCTGGAAGGAATGTGCCTTCTTTTTTCTTTGCTAATAGATTCTAAACTGCCAAATGAAAAGTCCACCCAAGAAACACCTTCCAGAGAAGGGAAAGGAACACTTGGGATTTGAAAACTCTGGCCTTTTAGCTGGGTCTAGAATGGGGAGGTTTTAGGGAGGGCATTTGAAGTGGGGAGAGAGGCAGAGCCTTAGGTAGCAGTCCTGGCACCCAGGGGCATTTGGGGGAAGGGGAACCGACCTCAGCACTCAAGGCTATGTATGTGAAGGGGGTGGAATAGAGTGGTGGAGGTCTCCAGGACAGTTCCCCAACCAGAAATGGACCATTCTTCCTCTCCACAACCCACAAGGCCCCTGAAGGAAGGAGAAAGGAGGATGGGGGAGCCTTGTGCTCATTCCACTCTTAGTAGGCACATAATAAATACTTGCTGAATTGAATTTCTCCCTCCTTCATGGCCTCACCAGTCATCCTGGTCTTGCCACTGGACTCCGACGACCCTGAAGGAGAGAGTGAGACTGATGACTTTGCACAGCTCTGCTGCACTTCTATCCAATTCACTTGCAAATCAAGACATCACCCTGCTGATGTCCTCTTTAAGAAAGAAGGACAAACAACAATGATAATTGAGATCAATCCTGCTAATATATTTGAAATCTAGTCTTGGCCAAATGATTCTGTGGCATTGAATGGGAGTCAGTCTCTCCTTTTCTTTTTTCTTTTCTTTTCTTTTTTTTTTTCCGGCTAGTTAATGAGGTTAAGTGACTTGCCCAGAGTCACACAGCTAGTGAGTGTTATGTGTCTGAGGCTGGATTCGAACTCAGGTCTTCCTCACTTCAGGGCCAGTGCTCTATCCACTGTGTCATTCTCATTTTCTTACCATCTATGCATACCCACCTCTTTCCCCAGTTGGTGAGGGACCCCCAAGAGAAGGCACTTACTTCTCTGCCCTCCTGGGATCCCCAGTCCAGTTTCAACAAGAGTTCCAACCCAGACCAGATCTGCCCATTTTGTGACCAGATCCCTGAAAATCCTTCACATTAAATGTTAAGAGTAGTTGGAAGTAGGGATTAAGCTTGTTTGCAGTTCAGAAGGCAGTGAAAGGTGGAAGACACAGCAATAGTTTCCAATTGGACTCCTAAACTGCTTTATTAGGCTACCAAATATGCTCCTTTAAGAGTCCTCCCAACTCTAAAGACAATGAAAGAGATCAGTTCACAGGTTCCTGGGCTGCCGAGCTCACCTGCAATTACAATTCCCTGATTGATCATTTCAGCCCTTTAATGTTGAGAGAATGCCTGGGGAGGGACAGGGGAGAGGATTTCCTGAATTTGGGATTAGATTTTAAACCTGCCTTAATGCAGAATCTCCCAAATCACAGAATTGAATATTTGGGGGAGGGTTAAGGACAATTTCGTCCAATTCTTAGGCTAAAAGGACCCCCCATGCTAAAAAGGTGGCCCAGTGGATACAGCATGGGCTCTGGAGTCAGGAGGACCTGAGTTCAAATCCAGCTTCAGACACTTGACTCTAGCTGTATGACCCTGGGCAAGTCACTTAACCTTGATTGTCTGAGGGGAAAAAAAAGGACCCCCACTACAATACATCTGAGCATTATTTGATGATACCTAATGAGGTACCCATTGCCTCAGAATTAGACAGACTGAACCACTTTTGGGCAATGCTAATCCTGTCCTCTCTCTCTCCTCTCAGTAAAGTAGTAATTTTCATGATTTATATCCACAAAACCTTGTTAAAATATGTATTCATAACTTTTCTTTTTACGACTTTACTTTTGTTATATAATATATCCTTCCTCTTTGTCTACCCTCAGAGCCACCCCTTGTAACCAAATAAAAAATTTTTAAAAAATTTAAAAAGCACTTCAGTAAAACTAATACATCAAAGGAATCTGACAATACATACAGCATTACACACTCATAGTGCCTCACCTCTTCAAAGAAATGAGGGGACCGATTTTCTCATCCTCTCTCTGGGGTCAAGTTTTAGCCATTACAATTACAAACAAACCTTCAGTTTGTTTTTTTAAATTAATTAATTAGTCTATTTATTTTTCGAGGCAGTTGGGGTTAAGTGACCAGTTTAGTTCTATTGCTCTTTTCATTTACGCTGTTGTACCCATTATGTATATTGTTTTCCTGGTCCTGCTCACTTGATTCTACACCAGCCCATCTCAGTCTTTCCAGGCTTCTCTGGGTTCATTTCTTACAGCACAGTCATATTCTCTTACCTTCGCGTACCACCACTGGTTTGTCCATTCCCCAATAGATGGACCTCTGCTTTGTTTCCAGGTCTTTGCTACCAACAGAAAAAAAATGCTGCTATAAATAAGTATTTTGGTCTTTATAAAATCATCTTTTCCATCTTTGCCATCTGTTCTGTGATAGCATGAGGAAGGATGCAGACAAATTGGAGGAGGAATTCAAGACTCCATCTTCACTACTTGATTGGCACTTCTCAGTGACTCTCCACTACCTCCAGAAGAACTCTCCCTTTCAATGAAAAACTACAGTTAAGAAAAACAAACCAAATGCATTGGCCAGGTGTGACTACAGATGCCTCCTTCCCTACTAGCTCTCAAAGAGACATGTTTTGCTATTAATCCTTTCATCTAAATGTTGAGTGAAAGCCAATTTAGGGACCCTAAGTGAGAAGGGGCTTGGTTGTTTGAAAAAATTACACATTTTCCAGGAATTAATCCATACTCCTTTATAAAAATGCTAGTCAGTAACTTGAGGGAAAGTATAGAGGTTTGAAGAAGCTAAAGGTATCTGTGCAGTCTCAGATTGCAATGAGCTACTATAGCTCAACCTTCAAGTGCCATGTGGGGCTTCCAAAGGAGCAAAGGCAGTCAAGGGTGTGCTGGAGGCAGCTCCCTCCGACTTATAAGAACTGATTGTTAAATTTTCTTTCTTTTAAAAAAAAAGTATTTATTTTTATACATTCACTTCTACAAGCTTTTTTTCCTTACCAGCCAGTCAGGGTTAAGTGACTTACTCAGGGTCACACAGCTAGTAAGTATCATGTGTC